ATGTATGAAGTTACAAATAAACCTCTGCTAGATGAAGAATTTTAGAAATGTCATCTTGCTGTACATATAAAAAAGACCTCAAGTCTTTTTATATATAGCAAAATTATATTGAAAAAAATATATATTTTGAGTTCTTTAAGGAGGAATGCCACATCAACTTTTTATTTTATAGATCTCTGTGTCAACCTTTTTAAACAATGGTTTCAGCATTGAAAGGACGACATTAGCTCTTATTTATTTTATATGATTTTGTTTTGTAAAGTACAAAGAAAATTAAAGGTATATTTAAATTTATTTTTCAAGCTTTACATAATTTTCTAATGCAAGCTTTGTTTCAGAATCGAGCGCGTTGAAAGAAATCTTGTCAGAGGCATTGGCGTTGTGTTGTCACAAGAAGAAACTGGGCCAATTTTAGAAGAGACTCGGGAAATGCTGAAAGATTTTGAGCAGCTAAGGGAGGCATCAGGTTTAGGTAAACTAATTAACAATTCAATACAACTGAAAATAAAGTATTAGGAAGCCCTGTACGTTCTGAAAAAGATCACTAAATTATGTATGTTATGATAATCAAAGTGATATGTCTTCATAATGTGTTCCATGCAATGTATTGAACTCTTTAGTATGTGATCCAATTAATATGATCTAATCGATAAATATAACAAGATTTTTGTGAATCACTGCATGCTGTCCCTGTATGGCAAAAAGTAGGTAAAACACCAAGTTGAAGGTCAAAGAGTCAAATGAAAGTTGTATGTTTCTAATTTAATGAAATTAAGGTCTTCTCACAAGGATAACATATGAAGTACTAGTATATGAAAACCCTAGCCCTACCATTTATAAGTTATCGTTGAGGTTACACTTTTTTGTGTGAAAATTAGCGACATCAATCAACCAAACTTGTAAGAGATTTATTAGGACCCGACACTCCAAACCACACTTCTAGTAGATATGATTTTTGCATAGAGCAGATTAATATTTGATTTGAATTATGCAAGTAGTTGTAGAGTGTTTCGGCTATTAAGAAGCCTCATCAGGGGTCACGGACATAAATCATGATGTTTGTTTTAGGTGAGACCGGATTATTTCGTCACCTATATTCTTGTGTTTGCTGTAAGCTAGATTGGTTGAGAATGAAATAAAGTTTTGCATTCTGGATTTCTAAGAATGGTGTCCCAGTATTTCAGAATTCGTTTTTTCAGTCCTTTAACGCAAGGGTTAAATTTAGTAACCAGTACTGTAGGGTTACGTAATGAATGTTCTTTAGTCTTTTTGATGATGAATTTTGATCGGTTTGTGTTGACCGTTTCCTTGATAATAGGATCAATTTCCGAAGTAGAGTAACCTCGCTTTGATAAGTGCGTCTTGAAGTCATTAAGTGTTGCATGTAATATTTCAGGGTCAGTAGTATTTCTTGCATGTCTAATGCATTCTCCTTTAATGAATCCTTTAAACACAGCTGGGCTATGAGCGCTCTGTCTGTGTAGATACTGAAAGTTATTTGTTGGTTTGATAAACGTGTGAAAATTAGCGACATCAATCAACCAAACTTGTAAGAGATTTATTAGGACCCGACACTCCAAACCACACTTCTAGTAATTATGATTTTTGCATAGAGCAGATTAATATTTGATTTGAATTATGCAAGTAGTTGTAGAGTGTTTCGGCTATTAAGAAGCCTCATCAGGGGTCACGGACATAAATCATGGTGTTTGTTTTAGGTGAGACCGGATTATTTCGTCACCTATATTCTTGTGTTTGCTGTAAGCTATGATTGGTTGAGAATGAAATAAAGCTTTGCATTCTGGATTTCTAAGAATGGTGTCCCAGTATTTCAGAATTCGTTTTTTTCAGTCCTTTAACGCAAGGGTTAAATTTAGTAACCAGTACTGTAGGGTTACGTAATGAATGTTCTTTAGTCTTTTTGATGATGAGTTTTGATCGGTTTGTGTTGACCGTTTCCTTGATAATAGGATCAATTTCCGAAGTAGAGTAACCTCGCTTTGATAAGTGCGTCTTGAAGTCATTAAGTGTTGCATGTAATATTTCAGGGTCGGTAGTATTTACCGAAAACCCACAAAATACCAGCAAACATTTACAATGCTCTAATAAACGGTCAGTGCAGCATTAGGAAATTACCACCTGGTAGACCAATTATCTCGCAATGCGATACGCCAACGAGGAAAATAGGACAATATTGCGATTACTTTCTTGTACCCATTGTACAAAAACAGTCAACTTATATCAAAGACACTACGGACTTTATCACCAAAATCGAAGGCCTCACATTGCCAACAAACGCATTATTAATTACTTATGATGTGACGAGCATGTACACAAACATGGAATTCAACGAACTTCTCTCATCAGTAAATGAGGCTTACACACAGGCCAATAAAACGCAATTAGACATTCCATATCCGGACCCTGAGGATCTAAACTTCTTACTGAAATGCGTCTTGGAAAACAATTACTTTGAATTCGACGGAAAATATTACAAACAAATAATAGGAGCAAGTATGGGGGCAGTCCCCAGTCCAGAGATCTGTGACATCAGAATGTATCAAATCACAAAGCATATAATGGCACAATTTCGACATGCCAGCAAAATTGTCTTCCACGGCAGATACCGTGATGACGGTTTCATAATATTCAATGGAACGCAACCAGAGATAGAAGAATTCTTTAATATCGGCAATCACTGTCACAAGCATCTAAGATTTACATTTGAAATTTCTCCAACTGCTGTCAACTTCCTTGATACTACAGTTTATAAAGGACAGAAATTTCAAAAGTTTAACAAACTTGATATCAAGTCGTTTATCAAACCAACAAATAACTTTCAGTATCTACACAGACAGAGCGCTCATAGCCCAGCTGTGTTTAAAGGATTCATTAAAGGAGAATGCATTAGACATGCAAGAAACACCACTGACCCTGAAATATTACATGCAACACTTAATGACTTCAAGACGCACTTATCAAAGCGAGGCTACTCTACTTCGGAAATTGATCCTATTATCAAGGAAACGGTCAACACAAACCGATCAAAACTCATCATCAAAAAGACTAAAGAACAGTCATTACGTAACCCTACAGTACTGGTTACTAAATTTAACCCTTGCGTTAAAGGACTGAAAAAACGAATTCTAAAATATTGGAACACCATTCTTAGAAATCCAGAATGCAAAACTTTACTTTATTTCATTCTCAACCAATCATTGCTTACAGCAAACACAAGAATATAGGTGACGAGATAATCCGGTCTCACCTAAAACAAACACCATGATTTATGTCCGTGACCCCTGATGAGGCTTCTTAATAGCCGAAACACTCTACAACTACTTGCATAATTCAAATCAGATATTAATCTGCTCTATGCAAAAAACATATCTACTTAAAGTGTGGTTTGGAGTGTCGGGTCCTAATAAATCTCTTACAAGTTTGGTTGATTGATGTCGCTAATTTTCACACTAAAAATAATTTTACTGGAGTAAAAATAATTTTACTGGAGTAAAAATATTTTTACTGGAGTAAAAATATTTAATTGTGAGTAGCATTGGCCAGTGTTTTATTTTTACTGCAGTAAAAATAATTTTAGTGGAGTAAAAATAAATAATTGTGAGTAGAACGGCCAACCATACACGACAACAAGGACTTTATTTAGGAAGTTATTTCTATTCTACCATTTCTACTAAAATCGCTTAAATACGGCTGATCGTTTCCTCTATAGAGAAACGAATTAGGTCACCATGTCTCGATTACGCTGTTTCATTTAACACCAGAGGAAAAATTTGTTTGCTTACCTGTGTATGGAATACAGACGATTTGAGCTTTCGTTGCATTAAAAATAGCTCTTTTAGATTACAAATTTGTTCGTTATATGTATTGATTAGTTTTAATGAATATACAATAACAAAATCATGTTCATTATGCAATTTACAGTGTTTATGCTGCAAAAGACGACACATCGATGTGGTGTAAACAAGTATTTCATGCTACAGCCAAACATGCATTTGAATTGTTTAGGTTTGATACGTGTTTCTGATCTGATAATTTTTTGATGAATTTCGTGATTTATTGGAGAATAATGTCCGCGGCTTTTCTTTGATCTTGGCAATAATCGTGGCAGAATGCTGAATATTAATGATTAGTTGAGATGAATTTTTTTGTTCTTCCCCTACTCTGCCTATTGGGTGAAATACAATACTGGGAACAGTAAGGTTGCACTTTGGTGTAAAAAAATTAATGTATTTATTTTGCCCCAAAAATATTTTTTCTAAAAAGTAGAGTATCTCTAGGATCTGGAACATAAACTGTTTTGTGAAATTCACATTAGAACTTTGTTTTTTTTTTTTACAAGGTGATAATAACCCCATTTGAACAGGTTACGGACACTAAAAGTGTTGTTTATTGTGAAATGAATATTGAAAACTCTTTATAAACATTTTTTTCAACTGCTCACAAACAAACAACATACAGAAATACATAATATGGACAAAAGTTGGACAAGAAAAGGTGGCATGAAAACAGTTCTTACTTAATACACTTTTAGGTCACCTGAGTAACTCAGGTGACCTATTGCTATCGGCTTTCGTCTGTCGTCGTCCGTCGTGTGTTAACATTTGTTATATTCTCCCTCACTTCGTTCGTCCGAATATAAATTAATTATACTCTTTATTCTGTATTGAAAGAATAATCAACTCATATGTATGGAATGCTGCTCGTCAGAACGTTTATTACAAATTTAACACATTTGTATTTATTTCAACACCCATTATTTTTAATCATTAAATAATATTGATATATACATACATATATGTGTGTGTGTGTGCCTAATTTACTGGTTTCCATTCCTTACAACGTTCTGTACGAGCGGTAGAATAACTTTTAAAGCACCCACCTGCTATTTATATGACAATGTCACGTGACATAAAAACCACACAGATCCACCACTCTGTTCACACAGGAAATACCCATAACGACAATAATAATAATTATATTTACACGAAAAGACTATTAGACACTTTCAATTTGTTATCTATACAATCCTTAATATAATTGTCTCTGGAATAGTCAGATTTCCAACGTCCATGTATTTTGATCAGACGCTCCGACACATTTTTCTCGGCTGCAGTTGTTGCCCCTCCACTTCGCAGACTGTGCAAACCAAAACCTTTTGAATCTATTCCCACTTTTTCCAAAGCTTCTAACAATAACTCTCGGGCTCTTGTATATGAAATCGGCTTGTTAATACTGCACAACATATATTTTCCACATGACTTGTAAAATCTAATTGCTCTGAATACATATTCCTCTGGTTTATCCTGAATTTCAGCTAAATTTAAATAATGCTTAATCCAAGATACAGGACACAGCTTCCATCCTGCCTCTGCCAATGTCACTTCGTTACCACGCCTGTAAACGTCAGTTTTGCTGGATTCGATGCAAACATTCATGTATAAATTCTTGAAAATTATATTTTTCACTTTAATATTAGATAATTCACTAAATCGCAAAAACCCTGCGAAACTCAACAACAACATAGCCACTGTTCTCACACTTCGTAAATCACAATTTTGCTCCCGTTCCCCATATACATTTATAATCTTCTCTAACACATCTGGCGAAATTGGTTCCTTCTTCTTTATGGGCTTTGATAAAATTCGTTTCCCCCCCTCCATTAAACTATGAATAACACTGTCGTCACAGGGATTAGAAAACGCACAATGAAGATCATGATACCACTTTATACTATAGAAAAATGAACACAGAACTGCTTCAGAAACTCCTTGTTGAATTAATCCACTTAAGAAAATGGCAATCACACTAGATTTTGCGGGAAAACTTGCGACATCTTTGGAAATACACCACTGCGTAAATTTCTTGAAATACGTTTCATACTGCTTGACTGTGTTTTTACTTTTTGCACTTTTCATGATGTGGAATATTGAGGAATCTGCCGATTTAAACTGCTCTTTCGTTGACATGTCTTTAATTTCCGCCCAAGTATCATTAAAAATCTGTGAATAAACAGCAAAAATATAACAACACACTCATTTACATATTTAAACTGCTATTATTATATTTTTCTGAAATCAATTCTAACAACCAAAACGTTGCTCAAAAACATATCTTGAGCAAATATACTCGACTTGTCTGATCCTGACATAAAAAATTTTCTTGAGTTTTTATATTCAACATATTCTTTTATATAAGATTTGTAAGATGTTGTACTTTTATCCCATATCATTGGCCAAAATAAAGCAGACAACCATTTAGGAATGATTAAAGTTCCATATGCATTACACAAACGCAAATGTTTGATCACTTTGCCCATAAGAAAAGGAGGAGGTACTATCCAACAATTTTCACCTGACCAATCATAAGCGAAAGCGTCAACTCCTGTAGTGCCTGGATTCCAATATTTCGAATAAAACCTTTTAACTTTGTTATTCTTACAATTTGCAAAAAGATCAATTGTAAAAGGACCCCATATTCTATCAAAATATCGGAAAATGTGTTCAAACACACTCCAATCATCACTGTCAAATATGCGACTGTAACTATCTGCATCCATGTTGAATTCTCTTGGTATCCACTGTACTTCAAGTAAAATACTGTATTGCACACAGACACCAAATATACTTAATGCCAGCTGATGCAGCTCGTCAACCATACTACCTTTACATGCGATGCGCACGACATTTTGATTATCTGTAAATATTTTCACAAACCTTCCACTCAACACATCTGCCAGACTTGTTAAGATTATTTGCACTGACTTTAATTCTCTCCAAGTTGAACTTTTACTTTTTTCACACTGATCCCACATGTAATGAACTATTTTCTTATTCCTTTCACATGTAAACCCTGCGCCTGCATGAGAACTTGCATCTGAAAAAATAATTTTCTCTGGTGTCTTATCAATACATGTAAAATGTTTGCAAGGGAGCTTACTGATATTGTAATGCCAAAACTCCAACTCTTGAATATTCCCATTGTCTACATACAAAATTTCATCCCAGCCAGTTTTAGAGCAAATTGTAATACTGAGACGTCTAGTCATTAACTGACATATATTTCCCAAAGATGGTTTTAATGCGATAATTTTTCCCACAACAGAAGATAATTTTCTCGCCGAAATATTGTTTTTATTCTCTAAAAGTTCTTTTAATAAAGATTTAATATTACTAATTTTTTCCAAAGGAACTTCTAGCGTCCCGCTTTTCAAATTCCACAAAAACCCTAACCACACTATACTCTGAGTAGGCTCAAGTACTGACTTCTCAGTATTTATGACAAAACCTGATCTCTGTAACGTGTCTTGTATTATGTCTGATGCAGACTTGCACTTCTCGTACGTATCACAAACCCAACCATCGTCCAAGTATACTACCACAGGTATACCACATGATCTCCAATATTTCACTAAAACTCTCACTACTTTTGTGAAAACATGCCCTGCTGAAGATAAAACAAAAGGTAACACATTAAATTCGAAAAATCTGAATTTGTCACCATATTTCCAAGAAAAAACCTAAATATTTGTGAAAATCTGGATGTATATCAATATGGTGATAACCTGATTTTAAATCAAACTTAATCATGTGCATTCCCTGTTTTGCATATTGTAAAGCCTCACTCACCCCTTCAAACTTCACCTTTCGTTTTTCTACAAATTGATTTACATGTCGAAGATCTAACACCAACCTTTTCTTACCTGTGCTGTTCACTGAAACAGTAAGTGGATTAACGACATGTATTTTTTCTTCAGATATTTCGTGAATACAACCAGAATTTAAAAGATCATTGATGGCTGTACAAACAAAATCACTGTGAATATGAGCCGACTTATTATTTTTTAAAACGACCTTAGGCGGCAATTGAATAAATGGAATTACATAACCAAACTGAATAGTATTTTGGACAAAAATGTTTGAAGACAATTCACTCTTCCAAAATTGTAAACAATTTTTTAACCGAAACTTTACTGAAATCTTCGAACACGTGTTTAACTCATATTCATAAGAATCACTCATACAGCCTTCATTTTCGCTATACTCAACTTGTTCTCTACTACTGTTTGTTGGCGTTGTTGCTAGAGGCCGATGCGACCGTGGAAGCTGACACTGGAACTTGTTGTCCTCTGGCAAATGGGCAGTCCCTGACGTAATGTCCTACCTGTCTGCAGAAAAAGCACTTCCGTTCAAAGGTCTGTTGACCTTCGCCGTATTCGATTGGCTTTTCGAATTGCTTGTACGCCCCTGTTGCAAACGTTTGGCCGAAAGTGCGAAAAAAGTCGTTGGCAGCAAATGCATTCTGTCTACGGTTTTGCATGGGATATGTATATGGCTTCCCTCTGTAATTACGCTTACGAACAGCACGGCTAACAGCGCCCCGTAACTTAACAGCGTCGTCATTGTTGTCTGCTAATGGATCGTCTAAATATTCGTTGACAGTATCCCACCCGTGCCTGTCTGCTATTTTTAGAATCTTGTTTCGTTGTCGCAACTCGGCGATTTCTTTTTCAATTGTCAGTGCCGCATTCTCCAAATCTTTCTTCTCTATAAAGTTTTTTTGTTTCAATCAACTTCTCTATTCTCTCTGTATTAAAGGTATGCTGAATGCGATGTCCCTCGTGTTTGAAATCGAATGAGTTATGTTTAGTATCCTCCCGTGCGCTATCCTCGTGCCCGGTATTCGTGGCGGGATTATTAGGTTTACTGTTAATTTGCTTCACAATGGAACTCACAATGACCTCATTCTGCTGTTGCAAAGCTTTTCTCAATGAACTATTAAATAAAGATACTGCATCCTCGTTAGACAATTGTTCACTAGTACTAGACTCGCCCAATAAAACTTCTTCAGAATAGTGCACATCTGAACTCGCTGTACTGGTTTCCATTCCTTACAACGTTCTGTACGAGCGGTAGAATAACTTTTAAAGCACGCACCTGCTATTTATATGACCATGTCACGTGACATAAAAACCACACAGATCCACCACTCTGTTCACACAGGAAATACCCATAACGACAATAATAATAAAACATTTTCAGCTTCTTCTCTGAAACCACTAAACCAATTTCAACCAAATTTGGTATACATACAGCATCTATGGGTGAAGGGGAACATAAATTGTGAATTTTTTGCCCCCCCCCCTGGGGCCTAAGGGGTGGGGCCAAAACCACTAAGATTATTGCAATCTGTAAAAATTTTCTTCTTTACTCCTGGACATCAAACAGGCAAACTGTTGGCATGAATGTAATGAGCATTGAGTCCTCTACCAAAATTGTGAAATTCATGGCCCCGGGGTCAGAGGTTCTAGTAATAGGGCGGTGCTATATAGATTATATAGTGAAAATGCATTATTTCTTTAAAAATCTTCTCTGCTCCTGGGTATTAAATAAACTAACTAAGCACATAGTTATGATGAGCAAGAGTGCCTCTTTCAAAATTGTGAATTTTATGGCCCCAGGGTCAGGGGATCTGGTGTTAGGGCGGGGCTCTATTGATTATATAGTGCAAATGCATTTATTCTTTGAAAATCTGCTTCTCTGCTTCTGGGTTTTAAGTAAACTAAATAAGCACAAAGTTATGATGATCAAGCGTGCCTCTTCCAAAATTTTGAATTTTATGGCCCCAGGGTCAGGGGTTCTAGTGCTGTGGAGGGGCTATATCAATAGATTATTTAGTGAAAATGCATTATTTCTTTGAAAATCTTCTCTGCTTCTGGGTATTAAATAAACGAACTGAGTACATAGTTATGATGAGCAAGAGTGCCTTTTCCAAAATTGTGAATTTTATGGCCCCAGGGTCAGGGGTTCTGGTGTTAGGGCAGGGCTCTATTGATTATTGAAAATGCATTAATTCTTTGAAAATCATTTCCTTTGCTCCTGGGTTTTATGCCAATGATCCAAGTATATATATTTATGATGAAGAAAGGCGCATCTAGCAAAATGGTTATTTTTTTATGCCCCCTGGCAAGGGCGGATTCAGGGGGGATGGGGGGGGTTCGGGAAGACACCCCCCCCCCCGCTCATTTTTTTTTTTTTTTTTTTTTACAAGTGTCATTTTATCATTTTGTTGCATTGATAAGACTCTAAAAACATAAACCCTTTGTTTGTACAACTGTGAAATATACATCCACTACGTAACAGGAAATCTCTTTCCGCTTGAACGCACTCAATAAACAGGTAATCAACAGAGAGAGTGCCTCAGAGATCGGGTAGTCCGTGCATCTAGTGAAGTCACCAGGTCACAGTACAATGTAATCAGGTACCAACAACAGAAAACTGCAAAGTTACGGTGCTGCTCAGTAATATTCTTTTGCTGATCAAATGCATGTTTTTTAAACTATGAATAAACTATTATTCAGGTTTTTTTTACCGTTTTAAAATTAAAGTAATATAATTTTTTTTACAAAACCAGGTTGGCTTAGCAAACCCCTCTAGTTTCGACAGATTCTCCAGTTTATGTAAATTTTTTCTTCAGTTCAGGCAGTTTGAAATTTCATTAATTGTACACGTATGTTTATATTCCAAATCATATTGACAGTATATACTCAAGTAAGTCGAAAAGCACAAGTTAGGGATTCTGAAAAGAATTCAATTTTTAATTTTTTTAGTGTTTGAAAATTTGGTACATTAGTTGTATCTTGGAAGTCAGCTTGACATAGGACTAAATTAATTGTAGGTGCTTTTAACGTAAACTAAGACAACTTGAAGTCAACTACTTGCATTCCTAAAATTGTCAGATTTAACATTTTTTTAAAGCAAAGTCTAAAGTCTTGTGTTAAATTTAAATCAAATTGAAAACATTTTATTAAAAATTTGTAATGATCGGTCTTTAAAAAAGCTACAAAAAGTACCCCCAAAATGCTGGAAAATGCACCTTTTAGAACCATTTAAAACCTATGGGAGGGGGACACTCCCTCCCATGCCCCCCCCCCCCCTTTGGGCCTGAAAACCCCCCCCCACATGAACTT